GAGCTCCTAAAGTCCCTCCCCTGCTCACCGGCCACCAGGAGTTGGCAGGAGCAGCATTTTTGGAGCAGCAGCCTTTCTCCTCTCGGCTGCTCTTTCTTCCTCCTCCCCCCCCCCCCCCCCCCCGCTTCTTCCTGAAAACTGCTGAGGTGGAGGTGGAGGCACGGAGAAGGAAGGAGGGAGGGAGGGAAAGGAAGAGGGAGAAAAGAAAGGGATATAAAAAGGAGATGAGGAGAAAGGGTGAGAAAAAAGAGAGAGAAAGAGAGAAGGAAGGGAGAAAGATGGAGGGGGAGAAATAAAGAAAAAGAAATGGATATAACAAAAGAGAAGGAGAGGGAAAAGAGAGAAGGGGAGGGGACGACAAACTTGTTGCAGGGCGGGAGGTAGCGCCAGCGGTGCACAGGGTCAGGTACTCAATGCTGTCCAAGCTTGGAGTGCCTGCCCACTGCCTCCATCTCTACCATGGTGCTCCCAGCTAGCCAAACGCAGCACCAACAAACAGTCACGGCACACACACACACACCCCCTCTGCCGGCTTCCCGCCAACCCAAGAATGCACACGGCCATGAGGAGCGTAGTTACTAATGGTGCGCTACATCACACACCCACACCCCCCCAGACGGCCTCACTGCAAACCATTGACTCCAAGAGATGAGAGGCACACTACCGGGAAGTATCCGTCTTGGTGTTCATCGGAAGCGACTTGATACGGCTCGGTGTGCCTCATCACCAAAAATAATTGGGATGCACAGAAGTGGGGGCGTTATTCTCTGTGACTCATGGCAAAGCGGAGTGGTCGAGGGGCCAAAAGGAAGGCGGATGTCACACAGGACCCATGCAAAAGAGTGCTTGCATGCACCAACCCCCAGTGTGAGAAAAACCAGGCCCTGACCCTAAAGTTGTTTTGTATATGATTAGCTGCTTCTAATGCCTCTTCGTGTTGACATAAGCGCCTCACGTCGCCGCACATCTTAGTGCCTACCTCCCACACTAGCTGAGAAGGCACATGGCGGACACTTCGGCAGCCATGTCTGGGTCACACACCAGGTAGTGAAAAGGCCTGAAACGGTGTGTCACTCACTTATACACACGACGTGCATGTCATACAACGCTAGATTAGCACTCAATCACGGATCCTGTACACACATGAGTGGACAAGAGTTATATTACCTGAAAGCCACCAACAATAGAATTGGGCCAAACATAACCCAACACAGGAACACCACAGGGTGCACGTACACGCAAAGCAGCACAACGCAATATAACGAGCGATTGCGGTAAATGGCGGGCAGGGGTAAAGACCCACCTCAACCCTGGCAGGAGACGGCCCCTATATACATAAAAATGTAATGTTTGTTTCTGGGATTAACAGAACTCAAAACCACTGGATAAATTGACACCAAATTTGAACACAAGACACCTAACAACCCAATGTATGTCCTTCATTCAAAAAATTGATTTTTGTTATTTGGGAGTTGTAGTTGCTGGGATTTATAGTTCACTTACAATCAAAGAACATTCTGAACCCCACCAACGATGGAATTGGACCAAACCTCCCACACGGAACCCCCATCTGGGCCACAGCAACGCGTGGCAGGGGACTTCTAGTAATAATAATAATAAACTTTATTCATATCCCGCCACCATCTCCCCCAACAGGGACTCGGGCAGCTCACATGGGGCCAAGCCCAAACAACAAATTACCATAAAATAAAATTCATTAAAATAACAACAGAAACACAAACAATATCACAATAAAATAAAATACAAAACGCATGAATACAATAAACAATATACACAGAACATAAGAAAGCAATAACAAACATAATGACAGTGAGCAGGCCGCGTGTACAAAAATGATTTAAAAACTCAGGGTGAGATAAAAGGAGCAGATTATTTGCAAGGGAGAACTCATAGAGCAACAGGGTAGTAGACATACGTTCATACAAGGGGGGGGGGGGGTTACTCCTAGGACAAAACATTGAGGGGAGCAATAGCTTAAGGTTGTGTGGCTACTCTCCAAAAACGCAGCGGCAGAGCCATGTCTTGAGATTCTTTTTAAAGGTTTCTAAGGTAGGGGCTTTCCTAATCTCTCCGGGCAATGAGTTCCAGAGTCGAGGGGCCACAGAGGAGAAGGCTCTCTCCCTTGTACCCACAAGGCGAGCCTGAGAAACGGGCAGGGGCAAAAGGAGGGCCTCCCCCAAAGATTGAAGAGCTCAGGTTGGTTCATGGAGAGAGATATGGTCACGAAGGTAGGCGGGTCCCAAGCCATTTAGGACTTTAGAGGTAAGAATCTGTAGCTATAAATAAGTTTGGTTTCCAAACTGAGTATGGAGTCTCAGGAATTCTGGGAGTTGTTAGACTCCAAAAGGAGATATTTTCCAGGGTAAATTATGTCAGGGGATGCTGAGAGTTGCTGTCCCCATGAAAAAGAGCTTTATGGCAGTTATAGATGTGGTTTATGTTCTCTATAATTCATGTTTTCACCCCAAAAATCAAATTACCAGCCTTATAGGGTTATAGCAGATTCATTGGCAACCCCAAATGGTGATTTTGTCTTCTAAAATGAAAATATTCCTTCCTTTCTCCCCAAATTCTGTCACTGAAATGATTCCTTTCTTCCCTCAAATTTGTGCCCATTTTATTTGTTTATTTTTATTTATTAATTTATTTAATTAATATTTATTTATTGTATTCTTGTCTCCTGTGCTATTCTAATAATATAATATAATGTAATATAATATAATATATTGTATATACATATAATATTTATAATATTGTAATGTAATGCAATATAATGCTACTAATAATAATACGATATAATTATATATTTATATTACATGTAATAGTACTAATAATATTACAATATAATGCTATAGTACAATATAGTAATATTTAATACTGATATTGTACTATGCTAATAATATAATATATTGTATGTATATATATCTTGTAAGCCGCTCTGAGTCCCCTTCGGGGTGAGAAGAGCCGGCATATAAATATTGTAAATAAATAAATAAAATAAATTATTCATTATTTATTATAATTATATTATTAGATTTTGTTGTTTATTTGTTCAGTCGCTTCCGACTATTTCTTAGATTATTAGATACTATATATAAAATTTATTTGATGCTATATATAAAATATTATATATAAAATATTATTATCAAAACATAGCTATTTCCTTGGCGGAAATGTCCCGATTGCCCCGTTGACAAAAATTAGAGATTGTGGAGCATCCGATAAGGCTTTGCGTCCTATAAACCTGCTTCTTTTCCCTGTCCTTCCTTCCGCAGCCGACATTTATGACAAAGTGGCTGAAGAGTTGGAGAAGCAAGGTTTCGATTGCGAGTGCCTCGGAGGCGGACGCATCTCCCACCAAAGCCAAGCCAAGAAGATTCACGTTTATGGCTACTCCGTGGTAAGGGATTCCTTATGATGCATAGCAGTTGAATTGGCATCAAGCCGCATCCATTCTAGGTCGGAGCTTTCCAAACAGTTCACGTTAGTAACACAACTTTGAAAAATGTATCATTTAGCTAACTGGAGGATCCAAACAAATACATAAATCTAATAACTCCATGTATGAGGACACAACATATCTTATGAAATTATTTCTATTTCATATACAGGCAGTCCCCAAGTTACAAACAATATAGATTCTGTAGATTTATTCTTAACTGGAATGTAAGTCAGATCAGGTACATTTTTAAGTGTAACTCCAGCCGTATATATATGTAACCTTTGGATTGCATAGGGAAAGGTGAACACTCCTGTTTTGTTTCTTTTGCTCTCTGTGCCGCTGTTTAGACAATTCCACCTTCCTTTCTGTTCCTTGATAATTAGATTTTGGAAAAATCGGTTTGTTGTGGAAACAAAGATTGGAGATATAACTTTACTGGAGACACCTGATAATTACTCTTTCGGGAGTGGATTTCCCTTCCGGGGGGTAGATTTCTCTCACTTCATGTTGTCTCACCCCCATTCTTAACTAGGAGTCATTTGTAATTTTATTTACTTAAATTTACGATATTTATGTGCCGCCCTTCTCACAAAGAAGGGGACTCATAGCAGCTTACAAGTTATATGTGCATTCAATATATTACATTATTAGCATAGCACAATATTAGTATTATATATTACTCTTGTGCTATACCACTACAATGCAATATTATTAGTAATATTGCATGTAATATATAATATAAAATGATTTATTTATTTATCGTGTCAGGAACATACCAAACAGTTGTATTGCTTTTTTTAACAAACAAACAAAACACAAAGTTTGCAAGCTTGGTAGTTGATTAAATGTCCTTTGACCAGTAGCTGGCCACTTGGAGTGCCTCCGGTGTGACTATAAGAAGGTCCTTCATTGTGCATGTAGCAGGGCTCAGTTTGCATTGCAGCAGATGTTTTGTAGTTTGCTCTTCTCCGCACTTGCATGTCGTGGATTCCACTTTGTAGCCCCATTTCTTAAGGCTCTGCATCTCGTGGTGCCATAGCAGTCTGTTCAGTGCCTTCCAAGTCGCCCAGTTTTCTGTGTGCCCAGGGGGGAGTCTCTCATTTGGTATCAGCCATTGATTGAAGTTCTGGGTTTGAGCCTGCCACTTTTGGACTCTCGCTTACTGAGGTGTTCCAGCAAGTGTCTCTGTAGATCTTAGAAAACTATTTCTTGATTTAAGTCGTTGACGTGCTGGCTGGTACCCAATATAAAATGATTATATTGTATTATTATAAGCATTATATTGTATTACATTATATTATTATCAATATGATATGTATATCCAATATATTATATTATGAGCATACCACAATATTAGTATTATATATTACTATTATATTGCTGGGGGGAGAGGCTCCCAACTGATGACACAGGAGATATGGTGGAACTGAATGTTTGTAACCCCGGGACTGCCCATATATATATATATGTATATGTATATGTGTTGTTTATTTGACAGAGACTCAAAATAGTTCATTATCTTCATGGGACAGACCTACATGGATATTAATGAGACAGCTCTATGGAATAAATCGCAATGGGACACACAGTTTGGGAAGCTCTGGTCCACATTGTAGAATGGATGTAGTGTTGCCTCACTTCCATCGCCACGGCTCCATGTTATGGCATCCTGGAAGTTATAGTTCTTCTACTGGCTCTATAACCTTCTCTGCCTGTTTCTCTTGGCAGGGTTTCGGCCGAGCCAAACACTCCATTTCCACCGAGAAACTGAAGGCTGCCTTCCCTGACTATGAAGTCACCTGGTCCGACGAAGGCTATTGACTGTTTCAGGATCTGGATAGAGGCCTCCATGGCTCTATGGGTGTCTGCCCTGGCTCCCGTCCCAACAAGAACTGGACAGATGGAGAGGGAACGGGTCCATTCCCCTGAGAAGGGCAGGAGGGTCCCTTGGGTCAAATCTGACGGAATAAATGCATCAACTTTGGTGCTTTTTGCCTTTTCTCTGCCCAAAGTGGTCTCAATTCACTCTTCTTTGCTTCCCAGATGGTGGCTCTGAGAAAGAGGTGCATCATAGGTTCATCTAGACTTTAGTATTCATGCAGTTTGGCACCACTTTGCCATGGCTCCATGCTACGGACTCATGGGAGCTGTAGTTTGACAAGGTCTTCTGTCTGCATTTCCCCCGTGCATATTTGTTATACGTATTCTAATAGTGTTTTGCTTGATCTTGCTATTTGAATCATGTTGTACCTCATCTTGAGCCTCAAGCAGAGACAGGCAATAAATTTACTGTATGTGTATTGTTTTGATGCAATTTGTTTAATATGTCTTTTTTCTGGCATTGAATTTTTCCCATATGTGTTGGAAACTGCCCAGAGTCCCTTTGGGGAAATAGGGCAGTTTATAAACAAAGTATTATTAATAATAATAAATCTATTAATATTATTACTATTATTATTGTCTTTGTCTTCTCTTTGAGTCTTTTTTAGAGACAAAAAGTGAGATAATAATAATAACAACAACAACAATAATTATGCTCCCAGGATTCTATAGCATTGAGCCACAGCAGTTAATCTGCATGAAGTCTACAGTGTAGATGTACCTTCGGTTCCTCAAATAAGAATTGCCTCCTCCTTTGATATACTTTTGTTTAAGTCCCCAAATTTCTGCCATTGCAAGGAGTGAGATCTTGTCATATCTAGGGCTCATAGCCACTGAGATTAGTGTCCCCCGGAAACTTTGCAGCTCCTTTTCTTTCATACACATTCTTTCTGAGTGCGAAACTGAGGCTTTAGGTTATCCGCAGCGATTGGTTGTTAAGACCTAATCTCCCTCCTGAAAGATTTAATGACTTTATTGCTCTTAGTTCAGGGTCCAAGGCTGCGATCTTCAACTGGGAAATTAAAGGCCTGGTTTTTTGGACTTGAGAGGTTTTGTCATTTGGCTTCATGGGAAGTATCTCAATAGCGCAAATGCTCCATTGCAAGACACACAGAGCTGACTGAATAAGGCAAAGTGTGCATCATATTATTAAAAGCAATATAACCTAACATTTTCCAGTCTGGTGCTTTCCAGACACTTTTCAAGGGACCTTAAGGGTCAGAGGAAGAGTATCGGGTGCAAACAGCTGTTAGAGCCATTGTGTTCCTAATGTTTGGAATGTGAGTTCCTATTAAATCTAGGATTTTGTTTAGGGTTCTTAGTCTTATTCATACTTATTTAGGAATCTTTCCCTATCTCCCCAAATGTTACTCAATGAGGTTTAATTAATTTGAACCACAAAAGGAGAGGCGGGTAATAAATCTATTAGTAGTAGTAGTAGTAGTAGATACACAACAAGATTAGTACACCGCAAACAAGATCGTTATGCTGGCTTTTGCATTTGGACACTTCCCAAGTGTCTAGGACTGTGTGATGTATTGGCGAATAATGCATGCAGATCCGAGTAGGGTGGTCTTTTGCCGCTGACAGATAGTAATTTTGTCAGCACCAATTGTTTTTAAGTGTAGGCCAAGATCTTTAGGCATTGCACCCAGTGTGCTGAGCACTGGGATAATTCAATAATAATAATAATAATAATAATAATAATAATAATAATAATTTATTAATAAGAATTTTCCAAAAGAAAAGACCCTGCTTTTTGAAATCAGTGAGACGTAGTAGCCTGCAGTGGAGGTGGTTTGGCCACTCTAGTTATTGAACTGTGTTTTTATGCTTTCCAACTAAGACAACTGGTAGAAATACTTCCATCTGAAAGAAAGTTCACACATTTCTACTGAAATCTATGTCCCTTTTCTCTATCAGAAAAGCAGGGTAAAAATGAGATACAGGTATCATGACACTGGCATCAAATGTTAGGGGTTGTAACTTTGAAAATCAAAGAGGTAATAATAATAATAATAATAATAATAATAATAATAATAATAATAATAATTTATTATGTATTGCACTCCTTTCAGCCTTTTAGCTCGAGGTGGGGCACAAAATAGTTAAATGCATCTATATAATCACATCTTCAAACAGCTGGTGTTTATTAAAAGACCTGAGACAAACATTAAAACACAATAAACATAGAACGGGATGTAAAAGTCATAGTAATAAGAAATGAAAGAACCCACAAGCCTTTTCTTTTCAAGGCAAATAAATATAGTTTTGAGACGGATGTCTTCCAGGAAGTTGGGGCCAGTGGGATCACTATCCCTTGATGCCTATCTACATTAAAAATGTTGTGCGTTTGTGTCAGTGCAGCTTGGCTGGCTTCCTTGAGCTGCCTAGGAATGTCTCCATGGCCTTTCAGGCTTGTGTTCTTTGGCCTTCCGGGTCGGTCTCTATATCTCTCTTTGTGGGTCTTTGGGCCCCATCCCTGCCTCTGGGGAGTGTCCTCCTTGCATCAAAGCAAGTGGGGAGATAAGGCAGGTTGAAGTCCGGGGCAAAGCGTCATTTAGAGGAACCTGCCAGGTGCCTTCCCTCCCAGAGCCTGAAGGATGGAGGGGCCTCGGCTGCTACTGTTGCTGCTGCTGGGGCTGGTCCTCATTGAGGAACGTGCCGGTGAGTTTAATTATAGATGCACTTCTTAAAGAGATCTCATCCTCATAGGGGACCTTGTTGAGGATTTTATCTACATAGATAGAAAGATAGATAATGCATGTTTTAATAGAGCTAGTCCTCATGGAGAAACTTATCAATGAGTTTAACATTATTATTATTATTATTATTATTATTATTTACAGTATTTATCAATATAGATGCACTTGTTCAGAGTGCTAGTTCTCATGGACGCACTCGGGTGAGTGAGTATACCTAAATAGATAGGTAGTGCATGTTTTAATGGAGTTGGTCCTCTCCTGCACTGTGCTTATAATATAATGTATATTATATTGTATATTCATATAATATTGATAATATTATAATGTAATACAATATAATACTTCTACTACTAATAATAATATATTATTATAATTATATATTTTATATTAAATGTAATATTACTAATAATATTACAGTATAATGTTATAGTACAATGTAATATATAATATTAATATTGTGCTCTGATAATAATATAATATATTATATTTACTTTTTATTTGTAAGCCGCTCTGAGTCCCCTTCGGGGTGAGAAGGGTGGCATATAAATGTTGTAAATAAATAAATAAATGGAGAAACTTGTCAATGAGTTTAACTTAATAGATAGACAAATGGAAGGATATGTTAAGAGGGCTAGTCCTCATGGAGATACTTGCTGGTGTGTTTAACTTTATCATAGACATATATGCAGTTGTTAAGAGGTCTAGTCTTCATGGAGTAACATGCTGACTAATTTGAATATCTAGATAGATAGATAGATAAATAGATAGAGATAGTGCCTGCTTTAATAGAGCTGGTCCTCAGGGAGAAACTTATCAATGAGTTTAACTTTAAGATATATATATTGTTAAGAGGGCTAGTCCTCATGGAGGAACTTGGTGAGTTTAATTAGATAGATAAATAGACAGACAAATAGATGAATATAAATAAATTATTATTATTATTATTTTCATACACAGGTGGGTGGGTGGATATGTTAAGAGGACTAGTCCTCATGAAGGTACTTTCCAGTGAGGTTAACTTTAGCATAGATATAGACATCTATGCACTTGTTAAGAGGGTCAGTTCTCATGGAGGAACTTGCTGGTGAGTTTAACTAGATAGATGGTTGTTGGGATGATTAAAGGAAAAAACGCTTTCTATCCAAGGCAAGAATAAAAATATAGGAGGATGTTCCTTCTGATCTCTCTCTCTGGGCTTCTTTCAGTCCTCGCTGAACCTCCGTCTTGGGCCCAGGCAGACTTCATCAATCGATGCAAGGCAGCCAACCAAAACCTGTGCAACTTCATCTGCGATTGCTGGGATTGTTCTGATGAAAACCAGTGCGGTGAGTGGTTCTTTCACCATGTTCTTCCTTTGGCTGATAATCTGGGTTTGGAAAAGTCCCGCCTAAGAAGAAGTAGAGCTACAAGGAAAGCTCTCACCCTGGTCTACTTTACGGGCTTATTGGATTCTATGTGTATTGTGTTTTAACTTTTGTCCCATGTAGATATATGCTTCAAAATATGTTTCATTTAAACTATGTTTTAATATGTGCTTTTATGGATGTATTTTAACTATGTTGTGCCCCCCAGCTCGAGATCCGAAAGGAGAGGCAGGTAGTAAATTAAAGAAGTTGTTGTTGTTGTTGTTGTTGTTGTTGTTGTTATATTGTTACATTATAATTATTTTCATTATATTATATTATATTTTTATTTTTATCACTAGCTGTCCCTTGCCACACGTTGCTGTGGCCCAGTCTGGTGATTTGGAAAATAAAGTAATGAGAAAGTGTTGGTTTCTAATATATGTAATGTGTTGATGCTTGTGGGTAAACAGTATTTCTTGTTGTTTCTTTGTCAGTGTTGATGTTAAGATTGTCTGGTTTGCCCACCCTGGAACATGCAACATATAATTGTCCTTCTTTAGGGGTTTCGTGGTGGTGGAGTTCATTGTAGGTGAACTATAAATCCCAGCAACTACAACTCCCAAATGACAAAATCATTTTTTTAGTGAATGACGTACATTGGGTTGTTAGGTGTCTTGTGTCCAAGTTTGGTGTCAATTCGTCCAGTGGTTTTTGAGTTATGTTAATTCCACAAACGAACATTATATTTTTATTTATATAGATGATGATGATGATGATGATTATTATTATTATTCTATTGTTGTTATAGGAGCTGTGGTAAGCTATGTTTCCTATTTAAGTGGTTATAATTCATGCAGTGAAGCCATTTTACAGAAATGGAATGAGGTTGAAGGGGAGTTGCCGATACTCCATCCTGTTTTGAACCATCCCTTCTTCTTGAATTGGACGAATGACTGTTTTCTCGCAGGTTTCCAGAAAGAGTCAGTGGCCCTAGGGAGGCCCTTCACTTGCGATTTTGAAGGCAGCCTCTGCGGCTGGGAGGATATCAGCCCCTCCGCCTTCCGGTGGGTCCCAGTCCAGGCCAGCCTCTCCGATGGGGATCAGGAGCCCCCCTTCGATCACACACGGGGCACTGATCTGGGTAAGGAGCCTTCCTCCCTTACTTCTTTCCTACCTTCCTTCTTTCCTGGGCAGGGGGTCACTCGGAGCAACTGAAGGAAGGAGGGCCTTTCTGGGCAGAGAATCACTATAAGAGAAATTACTGCTGGAGCCCTTAAGACTCGGAGGGCAGATAGACTCTCAGAGCACGCCTACTGTTTTGGTCAGAGCCCTCAAAATCTTAGAACCAAATATGGCACAAGGGGACTGGACTGGGTGGGCCTTGGAGTCCCTTTCAATTCTAGGATTCTGTGACACACACACACACACACAGAGTCTATCATCTCTCTCTCTCAGTCTCTCTCAGAGTCATATCATATCTATGCCTATCTGTTTATGGTTAGGTGTCCATCTATGATTCTATGACAGGCTTGAGGTCCATCTGTCCTGAGGGACTAGATAGTGTCCTGCTTGGCAGAAGGGGGGTGGACTGGATGGAGTTCATTCCAACTCTAGGATTCTATGATATATCTATCTCACACACACACATATATATCTATATATAGTCAATCATCTCATCTCTGTTATATCTATGTCTATCTGTCTATAGCTAAATTGCCACCTGTGATTCTATGACAGACTTGAGGTCCATCTGTAGGGTGGGATCAGATGGTGTCCTGCCTGGCAGAAGGGGGTTGGACTGGATGGCCCTTGGGGTCCATTCCAACTCTAGGATTATATGATATATCTATCATATATATATACACACACATATCTATATATAGTCGATCATCTCTATCCTTTCTATGTCCATCTGTCTATGGCTAAATAGCTACCTATGATTTTATGAGAGACTTGAGGACCATCTGTAGGGAGGGATTGGGTGGTGTCTTGCCTGGCAGAAGGGGGTTGGACTGGATAGCCCTTGGCCCTTCATTGTCTGTCTCAGCGCCTTTCAGTACAGAGTCCAAGCTGGACTTTAACCCAAAGATCCTGATCAGTTAAGGACTGCTTTCGTGTGCACCCCAAATATTATTATTATTATTATTATTATTATTATTATTATTATTATTATTCCAAATCTAGGATTTTAGATAGATCTATCATTCATTCCAATTCTAGGATTTTATGATAGATCTATCATTCATATATATATACACACGCAGACACACACATATGTAGTCTTATCTATTATCTCTCTCTCTCAATCTTATCATTCCTATGTCCATCTGTCTATGACTAGATGGCCATCTTTGATTCTGTGACAGGCTGCGGAGGGCCATCTGTTGGGCAGGATCGGGTGGTGTCCTGCCTGGCAGGAAGGGACTGTACTGGCAGCCCCCCTTTAGAGGCCCTTCCCGTTCTACAGTTCTTCCCTGTGATACCTGCAGGCTGGTACTTGGCCCCCACGAAGCAACAGGTGAAGCCCTCGGCCACGGCCCGCCTGCGTTCCCCCTTCATGAGAGAGGCCTCTGCCGCCTGCGAGCTCCACGCCTGGTTTCACCTCTCGGGAGCAGGTGAGCACTGTTCCTGAAGACAGCCCTGGGGGAGGAGCTTGCCTCTGGACCAATGTGTCATTGCATGGTGTCTCTCTCAAATGCAGGGTTCAACCAGAGTCACCGTCCCCCACTGGCCTTGGAGCTGAGCGCTGGGAACAACACCGTGACACTCTGGCACAGCCTCCTCCCAAGCAGCACCTCTCCTTGGCGGGAGCTGGTGGCTTTCACCGGGCGGATCCAAGGGGCCTTCCAGGTACCTGGCTGGGATGGTACCCAGACCCTCCCTCCATTCATTGTCTGTCTCAGCGCCTTTCAGTATAGAGTCCAAGCTGGACTTTGACCCAAAGATCCTGATCAGTTAAGGACTGCTTTCATGTGCACCCCAAATATTATTATTATTATTATTATTATTATTATTATTATTATTATTACTACTACTACTACTATTATACTAGCTGTACCCGCCACGCGTTGCTGTGGCCAACCTTCCCTCTTTCTCTCCTTCTTTCCCTACTTCCTTCACTCCCTCTTTCCTTCCTTCCTTCCTTCCTTCCTTCCTTCTTTCCTTCCTTTCCTTTCTCCCTCCTTTTCTTTTCCTTCCAATTTCTCTTCTTCCTTCTCTATCTTTCCTTCCTTCACGCTTTTTGCTTCCATCCTTCCTTCTCCTTTCCTCCTTTCTTCCCTTCCTCTTTTTTTCTCCTTTCCCTCCTTCCTCCCTTTCCTCCTTCCTTTTTTCTTTCTTCTTCCTTCCTTTTCCTTCCTCTTCTTCTCTTTTCTTCCTTCTCTACCTCTTTCCTTCCTTCCTTCGCTTTTTGCTTCCATGCTCCCTTCTCTCTTTCCTCCTTTCCTTCCCTCCCTCTTTTTCTCCTTCCCCCCCTTCCTTCACTCCCTCTTCCTTCCTTTCCTTTTTTCTTTCCTTCCTTCCCTTCCCTCTTTTTACCTTCCTTTCTCTCCTTTCTCTTTCTCTCTTTCCTCCTTCTTCCTCTTCCTTCCTTCCTTCCTTTTCCTTCCTTCCTTCTTTTTGCTTCCATGCTTCCTTTTCTCTTTCTTCTTTTCTTCCCTCTCCTCTTTCTTTCTTCTTTCCTCCTTCCTTCCTCCCTCTCCTTCCTTCTTTTTTCTTTCCTTCTCTCTTCCTTCCTTCACTTTCTTTCTTTTTTTTTCCTTCTCTTTCCTCCTTTCTCCTTCTTTCTTTTTCTTTTTCTTTCTTCCTTCTTTCTTTCTTTCTTTCTTTCTTTCTTTCTTTCTTTCTTTCTTTCTCCCTTCCTCCCTCTTCCTTCCTTTTTTCTGTATCGTCATTTAGCTTTTTGGGTTTTTAAGTCCACTGTTTTTTTTGGGGGGGGGGGGGGTATGACTAGTCACTTGTTGGTCTGATTTCCGTATGGACTTCTTATTAGTTCTGAGGCTAAAGGGCTGCTTGTGGATGTGTTGGGCTCTACTCCATTGGGAGGGAAGCTCACATAGAGGCAGGATGCCCACCTTAGTGGTGGGATTATATGGCCTTTGGGTATGTTTAGGACTTTGGAGAAACTGGAGCCCTGCAAGTCCCAGAAGGGAAGTGTGACCATCAGAGGCTCACGTGTTGCTCTCCTCTCCCTCTGCAGCTCATCTTCTCCGCCACCCAGGACTTCTCCACATCGGTGCAAGTGGCACTCGACGACCTGGAGTTCCGGAACTGCGGCCTCCCCAGTAATGACACTGGGATCCCAGCCCAGCTTCTCTCGCTCCTTCCCATTGACACACTACCTTCCCCTCCCTTTCAATCAAGGTGTCCAGTTAGCTTGATCAGTGTCCAGCTATACAGGAAGTCCCCAAGTTACTACCAAGAGAGATTCTTGTTGGGCGAGTGGGCTTATTAACAAAAGACCCTCCTCATAAATGTACAGCAGAGTAGCTTATCAGCAGCCGCGTGACCTAGCACTAGTAGCCCAACGTGACAAAAAGAACAAAAACACACAGACCAGTGTTATCTCTTCCATAGGAGGCTTTTCTTTGTAGTAAAAAGGTTGCACTATTTACAACAACAAGGTTTCCATAACACAAATAAAGAAATACACAGTAGCTTTACACACAGCTGCCTTCACACTAGAGCTTTCCAACACGAGGCTTTTCTCACACAGAGGTGTACCTCACACTCCTCAGGATGACACAAACTTTGGTCCACTGACTCTAATAAGCTTCGGCCTACTAACTCTTTCAGTGCTTGACTCACACTTTGGTAATAAAAAATGCCCAGTTAATTTTTAGTATTTCTGACAGTTCTGTCGGTTTGTTCTTAAGTTAAATTTGTGTGTCAGAACAGGTAGCTTTTTTAAAGTGCAACTCCAGCTAAAAGTATGTATTTTCAAAGTTTTTTATAACATAGGAAAGGGTGGTGTTTCCTTTTCTGTCAGAAGGTATCACCTTACTTTCTGTCCCTGTGAGAATGGGATTTTGAGCATTTTGGCTTGTTATGGAAACAAGGATTGGTGCTAAAGCTTCAATGGAGACACTTTTACTCCACGATAATAACTCTTCCAGGAGCAGTTTGTCAGAAATATTAAAAATTAACTAGTTTTTTAAATTACAGAATGTAGGTCAAGCACTCAAGGAGTTAAATAGATGCAATGACTCAGAAAAATATTAATCTGTATAAATAAAAATGCAATGTTTGTTTGTGGGATTAACATAACTCAAAAACCACTGGATGATTTGACACCAAACTTGGACACAAGACACCTATCAGGCCAATGAATGACCATCACTCATAAAAACCCTGAAAAACACAGCAGAAGATACTTAAAAAGCCAAAAAACAAAAAATACATTACAATGCATGCACAGAATCACATATATACACAAACACACAAATATAGACACACACATATACAGATATATATGTATATACACACACACAAAACATATACACAGACTGGGCCACAGCAACGCGTGGCAGAGATGGCTAGTTACTCATAAAAACACTGAAATACACAGAAGACGCTTTGAAATTACATTACAACGCATATGCAAAGCCACATATATATATACGCAAAGGCACACATACACACATATACATACACACATATACATTCACAAAATGTATGGGCCACAGCTACGCGTGGCAGGGGACGGCTAGTTTCTATATAAGCAGGTGTGTCTGTAGCTTAGTAGCCATCAGTCTGAGGTAAACCTCAATGGGAGAAAAGTCTCAGTCTGTGAGAAGGTCTCACCGTGTGAGGTAGGCCTCAGTCAGTGAGAGAATGCTTCACAGTGTGCAGTAGGCCTTAGTCTGTAAGGAGACAGAATGTGAGAATGTGAGAAGGCCTGGTGTGAGAAGCTTCGGTTAAAGAATCCCCAGGTTAAAGGCCTCGTGTGTGAAGGTGGCTGTATGTAAAAAGCATACAGTATGTTTGTTGTGAGAGGAGTCTCTGTGAGAGTGAAGCTGTTTATCTGCATGAGGAAGAACCCCAGAATCCCAGGGGGAGATTCTCTCACTTCCTGTTGTTTCAGCCCTGTTCTTAACTATGTTTGTAAGTTGGATGTTTGTAACTCAGGGAGGGCCTGTATTCCATCCACCCGTCTCAGGGAGAAGGGCGGAATGTCAATCAAGAAAGGGGTGGCTGCTGTGTCTCGAATGTTCCCTTTGGGATCCCTTCTTTATCCCCTAGAGCTCGGGTCACGCCCTCCCAGCTGTGGTCCAGATGAGCTTCTGTGTGGCAACAGCACCTGCCTTCCTGCGGATCGCTTTTGTGATGGGACGGAGGACTGCCTCGAGGGTGACGATGAAGACCCCGCGGTTTGTGGTGAGCATCTGTGCGCACTTTCCTCTTGGTGGAAGGACCTCTCGTGGGATGAAGCCTTGCCTGGCCCAGAAATGCGGACTCTCCTTGCTTCACGGCTCCTTTCCCTTTGTGCAGCTTCCTTCAGCATCTGCCACTTCGAAGAGGACTGGGGTCGTTGGAGCACAGAGCTGGACCAAGGCTTTTCGTGGACGAGGAACAGCAGTCTCCATGTTACCTCCACGTCTCCTTTGCGGGATCACAGCACCAATAGCCCGGAAGGTGAGTTTGGGTCAATGGGGGCAGGATAGGATACCTTTTTGGGGGGAAGGGATCTCCTTTCCCTTGGAAAGTCGGTCAAAACAAACAGGTCTAGTCCCAACATGCTGATTCCAGACCATGCCTTTTCAGAGCAGGAGTGGAGAAGGGAGGCACACTATTTAGTTTTGAATGTTTACCTGGTGAGATAACTGGCTGAGAGCTGAGTCTTGTGTCTTTACCAGGCTCCACGGTGAGGCCACTGTGAGATATTTACTAAATATCTATATATATCATCGAATCATAGAGTTGGAAAAGACTACACGGGCCATCTAGTCCAACCCCCTGCCATATGTATATGTTGAGGGCTGCAGCATCAGGATTTCATGCATATGGTAAAGGCTTTCCCTGACATTAAGTCTAATCAAGTCCCACTCTTGGGGTTGGTGCTCATCTCCGTTTCTAAGCTGAAGAGCCGGCATTGTCCATAGACACCTCCTAGGTCATGTGGCTAGCATAACTGAATGGAGTGCTGTTCCCTTCCCACTGAAGCGGTACCTATTGATCTACTCATATTTGCATGTTTTCGAACTGTTCGTTTTGCAGAAGCTAGATCTAACACCGGGAGCTCATCCTGCTCTTTGGACTCAAACCGCTGACCTTTCGGTCAACAAGTTCAGCGGCTCAGTGGTTTCTGTGCCACCAGGGGGCTAATTGAAAGATGCCATTAAAGATGCCCAGTAATATCAGTACCAACAACAAGAAAGCTACATCAGGTGCACTTGCGATTCTGAGATGCACCCCATTTTTAGAGGTGTTCAACTAAAGTAAAGATCCATCTTAGAATTAAAGAAATACGAAGGTTGAATGAAAAGTAATGCCTCCACCTTCGTAACTCCTCAACAGATGGCAATACTGGTATGCAGCAGGTACTGGCTTGTTCAGTAGACTCTCATCTACAGTTCCATTTTGGCAGGAAGCCTTAGCGTTGAATGGTTGTGTTGTTAAAGTGCGAAGTATGGAACCCTGCACAGACAGTCGGCCAGTGCGACTTAAGCAACGTGCAATCATTGAATTCTTGACAGCAGAAGGTGTCACTTCAACCTCTTTAAACCTACTCGCCCAATGACGCACAGTACTTACATCAACACAATCACCATAAACAGCTTGCATTTTCTGATGAATCTCCTTTGGGGTGACACCTGCTGTCAAGAATTCAGTGACTGCACGTTGCTTAAGTCACATTGTGTAGGGTTCCATATTTCACACTTTAACAACATAACTGTTCAATGCTAAGGCTTCCCGCCAAAATGGAACTGTAGAGGAGAGTCTACTGAACAAGCCAGTACCTGCCACATACCAGGATGCCATCTGTTGAGGAGTTATGAAGGTGGAGGCATTACTTTTAATTCAACCGTCGTACGATATCCCCCTCTCAATCATATCTATCATATCTCTGTCTTTCAGTCATTGATCTATGGCTGGATGGCCATCTTGGATGGCATCCTTCCTGGCAGAAGAAGGTTGGACTGGATGGCCTTTGGGGTCCCTTCCAACTCCACAATTCCCTCCTACTCACTTTCCTATTTGATCCCTTCCAGGGTATTTTGTCTACATCGATCATGGGGACCTAGGCCAAAAGCAGAGGAGTGCCTGGTTGCTCAGCCCAACTCTGGCCATGTTGGAGACAGAGCCCTGCTATGTGAGTGATAGCACTTCGGTCTTAGAAAAGGAGGGTCTGGTGGGCCTCGCAGGAAGGTCAATGCACCCCTCAGACTATCCTTGCCCCTCCCTATAGAAATATATTGTTATAGCAGAGTGCTTTGTGTGAGCTTATGGGAGGAAACAGGAGAGGAAAGACATAAGAGGATGTTAGTGTTGCTCTTTGTATCTCTGTTAGTGTTGCTCTTCGTATCTCAGTATAAAAGCACAGATAGGCAAAAGACTTTGGTAGAAGAGCCCTTGATGCCAGCTCTCATGTCATTGTATAAGAGAGAGAGGCCTCTTGATGCTTCCTTTGCAAACAAAGGGGTTATAAAATATTAAATCCAGAAAAGAAGTGACTGGCATGAATGACTTTTCAATAACTTTGAAGCATAGGTTCTTTTTATTGCCATTTCCAGTGTGAGAGAGTACAAACACGAGGCTTGCGTTGACTTCCTTCTTAACATAAGGAATGTTGTAAACATTTCTGTTATCACTGTCCCAGTTCTTATCAGAGTTTGCTTTTCAGTTTTTTTTAGCAACTTTTCATTACAGTCCAGCAAGCAGGTAGTTAGTCCTTGCAGGCCTTAATATTATACTGGTGTCTCCAAAATTATTAACTCCACTCATACAACTTCCACTCTTCCATTCATTCCCACACATCATATTAAATTCACATTTCTCAAATTTGCACATTAAATTTTTGTGACATGACCTCAGGACACCTTGAGTCCCGTAGATCTGGGAAGCAGAGGTGAAAAGAAGATGGAAGCATGGCATCTGGGATCCCCTCCATCTCTCTAAGTACAAGTCCAGATACTCCTTCTCCTCTTGCGCATCTCCTTTGATCCTTCCTCCTTCCAGCTGGTGCTCTACCTCTATCTTCACGGCTCTGGCACCAACAGTCTTAATGTCTATTACCGGACGGAGAAGAAGATGGAGCTCGTCCGGAGCCGCACTGGGGATCTGGGTGACTTCTGGTTCCGGGAGAAAGTGGCCTTCAATGTGGAAGAGAAGTTCCAGGTGAGGAAGGAAATGGGGGGCTCCCAGGGTCTAAGGGAGACCGGGCTGAAGAGGGGAAACGAAGGGGCAGAGGCTTTGGGGGGCGCTCTTGGGCAAGACAAGATGGCCGACACCATCCTCTCAAACAGGCGAATCATACCCCATGGGCCTTTGGACTATGTAGGTGTACTACAAAGCTTCCCCAAACTTTGCCAGTATTTTGAGATGGTTCAGATTTGTTCTTGGTGGGATTTGCAGTGCTCTCTGGATGCAGGAGCAATCTTGGAAAACACATACAAACACAGATACATTTATATATTAATTTTGATTTATATAAATATGTTAGATAAATTTATGTTAGATAACATATAATATATAATATAGGTAAAGGTAAAGGTTTTCCCCTGACATTAAGTTCAGTTGTGTCCAACTCTGGGTGTTGGTGCTCATCTCCATTTCTAAGCCAAAGAGCTGGCATTGTCCGTAGACACCTCCAAGGTCATGTGGCCGGCATGACATGGAGTGCCCTTACATTCCCACTGGAGCGGTACCTATTAATCTACTCACATTTGTATGTTTTCGAACTGCTAGGTTGGCAGAATCTGGGGCTGACAGCAGAAGCTCCCCCCGCTCCCCGGATTCAAACCTGCAACCTTTCGGTCAACAAGCTCAGCCACTCAGTGGTTTAACTCACTGATTCATATAATTAATATATAATATAGAAATGGAAGATATACATATAGATATAGAAGGATGGATAGATAAATACAATCCTAGTGTTGAAAGAGACTGAAGACCACAAGGGCCATCCAGCCCAATCCCTCAAGTGACTACATCTATCATGGCTTGCTGTGAGTTTTCTATGCTGTCTGGCTATGTTCCAGAAGTATTCTCTCCTGACACTTCGCCCACATTTATGGCAGGCATCCTCAGAGGTTGAGCTCTGTTGGAAATTAGGAAAGTGGAGTTTATATATCTGTGGAATGTCCAGGGTGGGATAAAGAACTCTTGTCTGCTTGAGGCCAGTGTGAATGTTGTAACTGGCCACCTTGATTAGCATTGTGTAGCCTTGCAGCTTCAAAGCCTGGCTGCTCCCTGCCTGGGGGAATCCTTTTTTAGGAGGTGTTAGCTGGTCCTGACTGATTCTTGTCTGGAATTCCCCCACTTTTTTAAGCGTTCCTCTTTATTTACTGTCCTGATTTTAGAGTTTTTTTAAAAAAAACTGGTAGCCAGAGATAAAAAAAAACTCACCTGTATCAATGTCAATTCTCAAATTGGAGAGACCCAAGTAGTGGTGCAGGGAATTTCAGGGGAAGAATTATTGTGTCGTACCTTAACTCTCTTCCTTTGCTAGATGAAGATTGTCAGGGTTGTTGTTTGGGGGTTTTTTTTGCCATTGTTTAAATGGGAGGTTGTTCATTAAAGTGGGTCATGTTTGAAACCAAAGGTGCATTTTAGGTAATACATTCATTTGGACTGCTGAGACTCTAGGGTTCCTTTTCCTTATCCAGATTGTCATTGAAGGAGCCCTTGGGATAGGGGACAAGGGGAGTATCGCTTTGGATGACCTCATCCTGTCTCCTGGTTGCCTGGAGCAAAACAGTGAGTGGTTGTTGTTATTATTATTACTATTATTACTATTATTATTAGAAAGAGAGGAGGCCTGAGGGGAAGCCTTAGGAGCCCTGCTATTTCATCTCCGGGGTTTAGTCTGAAGTTTAAAGGAACGGCAGTATCTTGGAAAGCACCTTTAAAGTTCAGACCTGGGGAGATCTACAAATTCCCCAGCATGCATAACTTAAGAATATAGGAATTATTATTATTATTATTATTATTATTATTATTATTATTATTATGTATTTCACAGATATATAAACCCCACTGCCTCATTTCCAACAGACCTCACAACCTCTGAGAATGCCTGAGATGCAGGTGAAACTTCAGGAGAGAATGCTACTAGAATGTGACCATAGAGCCCAGCAACCCAATAATAATAATGACACTCAAAGAATCAAGTGGACCCTCTCCTAAGTTATTTATTTGTTAATACTCATTTGTTTTACTCTTTGTGGGAGCATAATATTGTCCTCTGTTTGGAATTCCTGATGCCTGTTGCTCCGAGGGTACTATTGTGTGTGTGCGTGCTTTTTTTGTCATGGCCTTGAGCTTGTGCAATAATCATAATACATTTTTTGTTACCTGTCTCTCCTGACGGCTTGAAGTGGGGTACAACAAGATCAAAATACTGTATATACTCGAGTATAAGCCTAGTTTTTCAGCCTCTTTTTTAGGCTGAAAAAGCTTCCCTCGGCTTATACTCGAGTCAAGGTTATTTATTATTTTACTCTGTTAATAGTATTATTTTTATTTCATGTATTATTTTACTCTATTATTATTACATTTACAGTATTTTACCCTGCTATTATTATTATTATTATTATTATTATTATTATTATTACTACATTTATTATTTTACACTATTTATGATTATTATTACATTTATTATTTTACTTTATTATTATTGCATTTATTATTCTACTCTATTATTACTGTTATTGCGTTTCCATTATTTTACTTGCATTTCCCACCCTCAGCTTATACTTGAGTCAATATGTTTTCCCAGTTTTTTGTGGTAAAGTTAGGTGCCTCGGCTTATACTCGAGTATATACGGTACATCAGTGTTTATGCATGCAATAAAATCCATAGATCAAAACATATTATTATAAAAACATTCACCAAAACACAGATTATAACGATCATCAACAACGCTTCTATTTATTACCTGCCTCTCCTTCAGCTCGAGGTGGAGTCCAACATGGTTAAACAATGAGATAAAACACAATGTATCACAAGATACACACAGGTAAAACGCAGGTTAAAATTCACAGGGTTTTCGTGTTAAAGCAAGTATGGGCAAACTTGGGCTCTCCAGGTATTTTGGACTTCAACTCCCACAATTCCTAACCACCTAATGGGGAATGAACCAATTGTCCCTGTGCAATAGTGACCCGCACACATTAGCTGACCCTTTTGAACTCAGAGAATCAGGTTCCTGTTTGCTTCCTGTGCCGCCATCTTTCTCTTCCCTTCCAGGCACTCTTTCCACTCCCTTTGAGCCGGAGCCTCCTGCTTCCCTCTGTGCCCAGGACCAGTTTGCCTGCTGGGATAACAAGGGGTGCATTGGCATGGAACTGGTCTGTGACTTTAAGGCTGACTGCCAGGATGGCTTTGATGAACAGGAGTGCGGTGAGTGGGGCCCGGAGTGGAGCAGGGGAGTCAGAGAGATACCCTTTTTCTTCCCGCTTGGCTTATGGTTCACTTTGTTTAGGGCAGGGGTCCTCAAACCCTTTCTTTGATAGTTACAAGTTTGGTAGATGCAGAGAATGCTGTGGCTGTAGAATATCTTAATTTCAGTAAGGCCTTCGACAAAGCCTCCCATGACCTTGCAAGCAAACTAGCCAAATGTGGGCTAGGCAATGCTACTGTTTGGTGGATCTGTAATTGTTAGGCAACTGAACCCAAAGGGTGCTCATCAATGGTTCCTTTTCATCCTGGAAAGGAGTGACTAGTGGAGTGCCATAAAGAGGCTTCGGTCCTGGGCTCAGTATTGTTCAATATCTTTATTAATGACTTGGATGAAGGTTTCAAGGCCGTGCTTATCAAGTTTGCAGATGGGACCAAATTAGGAGGGGGAGCTAATACCTCAGAGGACAGGATCAGGATGCAAAAGAACCTTAACAGATTGGAGAAATGATTGCCCAAAACTAACAAAAGGACAAATGTGAGATTACTATTATTATTATTATTATTAACTTTATTTATACCCCGCTAACATCTCCCGAAGGACTTGGTGCGGCTTACAAGAGGCCAAGGCCCAACACATCAATAAAACAACAGCATAACAATACAACAATAAGTAAACTCATAAAGCAAAGCAATAAACATTAGACAATAACACCACATTTGGGACATGATGCTAGAAGTTTCCTATTCTGGGAAGGCACACTGGAACAGCCACGTCTTCAAGCTCTTCCTAAAGACTGCCAACGTTGGGGCTTGTATGATGTCCTTGGGGAAAGAGTTCCAGAGTCGGGGGGCCACCACAGAGAAGGCCCTATCCCTCGTCCCCTCCAAACACGCTTGTGATGCAGGTGGGATTGTGAGCAGGGCCTCTCCAGATGATCAGAAAGATCATGTGGGTTCGTATACGGAGATGCGGTCACGCAGGTAGGCGGGTCCCAAACCGTTTAGGGCCTTGTAGGTAAGCACCTGCACCTTGAATTGGGACCGGAAAATGAACAGCAGTCAATGGAGCTCCTTAAACAGTAGGGTTGACCTCTCTCTATAAGGAGCACCAGTTAACAACCTGGCCGCCGCCCGTTGGACCAGTTGGAATTTCTGGGCCATTTTGAAGGGCAGCCCCACGTAGAGCGCATTACAGTAGTCCAATCTGGAGATGACTAAGGCATGGACCACCCTGGCCAGATCCACCTTCACGAGGTGTATTTCACAGAGCTGTTGGCGCACGAGTTTCAGTTGTGCAAAAGCCCTCCCGGCCACCGCCGACGCCTGAGCTTCAAGCGTAAGTGATGAGTCCAAGAGGACACCCAAACTGTGGACCTGTGACTTCAGGGGGAGTGTAACCCCGTCCAGCACAGGTTGCCACCCTATACCCCGATCTGGTTTATGATCGACCAGAAGGACCTCTGTCTTGTCAGGATTAATCTTCAACTTGTTCTTCCTCATCCAGGATACTTAGACAGAAAAAATGAAATGCAAAGATACAGAACAGGTGACGCCTGGCTGGACAACAGCCCATGCGAAAAAAGATCTTGGAGTCTTTGTGGACAAGAGGGAACATAAGCCAACAGTGTGATGCAGCAGCTAGAAAAGCCAATGGGATTTTGGGCTGCATCCAAAGGAGTGTAGTGTCTAGATCAAGCAAGGACAAACTTTGGCATTCCAGGTGTTTTGAACAGCTCTCTTTCACAGTTAGGAAGTTCTTCCTAAATGTTCAGGTGGAATCTCCTTTCTTTCCTGTAGTTTGAAGCTATTGTTCCATTGCGGCCTAGTCTGCAGGGCAACAGAAAACAAGCTTGCTCCCTCCATGGCCCTCACCAGCCTAGAAAACTCACAACCCAGTGATAAGGACTTCTTCGCTAATTTATTATTATTATTATTATTATTATTATTATTATTATTAATCATCGTGATCGTCAACACTCTCATGAGAAGCTCTATGTTAACAAAACGTAAATCTCCTATCTAACTGCTCATTAGTCTGTCCACCTGGACTTTCATTTTCATCCTCTGAGCTGAGATCGGTTCCTGTCCTTGCTTCCCGAGCAAACTGCCTTTCAGGAATGTGGCCTTCAGACACAGACCGCTCCTTTTCGGGACTTAAAATGTCTTTCTGGCTCCTCTGCTGACTTGCAGACCCAGGATCCTCAGTGTCATCAGAATGACTTGCAGGCCCAGAATCTCCAGAGAGATCAGGTGCAGGCACAATCAAAGACTGAACTACAAAAAATGGCCTTGAAGGGTAAAGGGTCCTGTTTTGGGGACCCCTGGTTTAGGGTCTCCCTTTGGACACACGGCGTTTTACAAAAAGGAGCCTGGGGGTCAGCTTCCTCTCTCCTTCTCTCTGCAGGGGCCAGATCTTTGAACGAGAGCAGCGGTGGCTGGAGGGATCTCAGTGTGGGACGGCTGCAGTGGATGCTCCAAAACATCAGCAGTCAAGGCAAGGCCAAGGTCAAAGGGGATGGTTCAGGAAGTGTGTGGAGGGGACTTGGAGGGTTCCAGGAAATGGAGGGGGAAGCAAGGCAGCAGGAAGGCCCCGCAGGGTTGCAGGAAGTGATCCCTCTCCCTCTGCAGGCCGCGTCCTGGCCCTCTCTTCTGAAGGTCCGGGGCAGATGCTGTCCATGGCAAGAGCGGCCACTCCGGCCCTGGGCCCCTCCGGTTTGGCCTGCACCCTGCAGCTGGACTACACCACTGGACATCGAGGTACTGCCTCTGCGGCTGCTCCGTCTGACTCCCCTCCTGAGCTGGACATCAAATGTTTCCACTTGGAAGCAGTTGGCCAATCCAGTCTCTGAACCATTTGGGTGATGTTTCGTGTAGGGGGTGGGGGAGTATAGTTTTGGCTGTTTGAATTCATATAATGACGTCTTCTGGAACATTGTCATAATATTATGTCCATGTTATTACTTATTTATGTTTGAATTTTGTGTGTGTGTGTGTATGGTAAAGGTTTTCCCCTGACATTAAGTCCAGTCGTGGGGGTTGGTGCTCATCTCCATTTCTAAACTGACGAGCCGGCATTGTCCGTAGACACCTCCAAGGTCATGTGACCGTCATGACTGCATGGAGCGCCCTTACCTTCCCGCTAGAGCGGTACCTATTGATCTACTCAACATTCATTTCGGCCCAAAATTCAAAACATTCATTTCGGCCCAAAATTCTCAATAACAAATTGGCAACCTCCAAAGATCTTAGAAATCAAAGACAAAAGCAAATTCGACCCAAAATTCTAAATAGGACATTGACAACTCCAAAAATTAATGTTACTATTCTGCCCGAAATTAATAATGATAATTTGACAACCCCAAAACTCATTCCTGACAATATACAACTGAGGTGCCAGGATGGTGGCCCCTCCAAGCTAAAGGTGGTGCTGTTCAATGCCAGGTCGGTAAATGGAAAATCTTCTATCATTCAAGATCTAATCCAAGAAGAACGAGCCGACCTGGCTTGTATAACGGAGACCTGGTTGGACGAGGGGGGAGGGGTCAATCTCTCCCAACTCTGTCCACCAGGTTATTCCGTTCAGCACCAACCAAGGCTTGGAGGGCGGGGAGGCAGAGTCTTAGTGGTCCACTGATCAGGTGTCTCATCCCACAATCATCTTCCTTTGAATGTGCCGGCTTTAGGATAGGTGGCCGGGACAGGATAGGGATTCTGTTAGTGTACCGACCACCCCGCTGCTCTACAGTCTCCCTACCTGAGCTAGCGGGAGTGGTCTCGGACATGGCGTTGAGCTTCCAATGGCTTCTGGTCTTGGGAGATTTCAACGTCCATGCCGAGGCCCCTCTTTCTGGCGCGGCTCAGGACTTCATGGCCGCCATGGCAACCATGGGCCTGTCCCAACTAATATCGGGTCCCACCCATAGTGCCGGGCACACTTTAGATTTGGTCTTCACCCAGGGATGGGATGAGGGTGACGGGATGGAGGAGCCGACCATCGCTCCTGCCATGGACCGATCACCACCTGATCAGATTTAGACTAACTGGGCCTCCTAACCTCCGCAGGGGTGGGGGACCCATTAGAATGGTCCACCCCAGGAGACTTATGGATCCAAATGGACTCCTGACGGCTCTTGGGGATCTCTCCACCTCCTTGGCTAGTGATACTGTCGATACTCTGGTCTCTCGTTGGAATAATGAGTTGACTAGGGCAATTGACACTATCGCTCCGGAACGCCCCCTCTCGAGTAACCGAGCTAAACCAGCCTCTTGGTTCACCGAGGAGCTGGCAGCGATGAAGCGAAAGAAGAGGAGGTTAGAGTGTGTGTGGCGCCAGAATCCCACCAATCCAGCCCAAACACACCTTCTTAAGGTCCTACGGTGTGGCAATAACGGCAGCTCAGAAAACATTCATCACAGCCAATATTGCATCAGCGAAGAATCGTCCAGCGGAGCTTTTCCGAGTTGTCAGGGGCCTGTTAAATCCGCCAAAAGGCGAGGCCTCGGACAACTCGGTGGCTCGCTGTGAAGCATTTGCTCGATCCTTCGCAGATAAAATTGAGCGGATTCGGTCGGGTTTTGACGTCATGTTAACGGCAGTCTCTGGGGATGTAACGAGAGCATCTGCTTGTCCAGTTTTATTGGATTCTTTTCAATTGGTTCAGCTTGAGGATGTGGACAGGATCCTTGGAGAGGTGCGACCCACCACATGCATCCTAGACCCCTGCCCATCCTGGCTGATCAAGGAAGCCAGAGGGGGTTTGGCAGAGTGGGTGAAGGTGATGGTTAATGCCTCCTTACAGGAAGGAAAATTTCCAGCGAGCTTAAAACAAGCTATTATAAAACCGCTGTTGAAGAAACCATCACTGGATCCCACTCAATTCGACAACTATCGGCCAGTTTCCAATCTTCCCTACTTGGGCAAAGTCATGGAACGTGTGGTGGCAACACAACTCCAGGGGTTCCTGGTAGACACTGATTATCTGGATCCGGCACAGTCTGGCTTTAGGCCGGGACATGGAACTGAGACAGCCTTGGTCGCCTTGGTAGATGATCTTCGCAGGGAACTGGACAGGGGGAGTGTGTCCCTGTTAGTTCTGCTGGACCTCTCAGCAGCTTTCGATACCATCGATCACGGTATCCTTCTGGGTCGCCTCATGGATATGGGGCTCGGGGGCACTGCTTTGCAGTGGCTCCGATCCTTCCTTGAGGGACGGACCCAGAAGGTGTTATTGGGTGACACCTGTTCGGACCCACAACCATTGTTGTGTGGAGTCCCACAGGGTTCAATTCTGTCCCCAATGTTATTTAACATCTACATGAAACCATTGGGAGAGATCATTTGGAGTTTCGGAATGAGATGTTATCTCTACGCAGATGATGTCCAAATCTGTCACTCCTTTCCACCTGCCACCAAGGAGGCTGTCCAGACCTTGAACCGGTGTTTAGCTGCTGTATCGGACTGGATGAGAGCTAACAAATTGAAATTGAATCCAGACAAGACAGAGGTCCTACTGGTCAGTCGTAAGGCCGAACAAGGTATAGGGTTACAGCCTGTGTTAGACGGGGTTACACTCCCCCTGAAGACGCAGGTTCGCAGCTTGGGAGTGATCCTGGACTCATCGCTGAGCCTGGAACCCCAGGTCTCAGCGGTGGCCGGGAGAGCTTTCGCACAATTAAAACTTGTGCGCCAGCTGTGCCCATATCTTGAGAAGCCAGACCTGGCCACGGTGGTCCACGCTCTTGTCACATCCCGGTTGGATTACTGCAACGCACTCTACATGGGGTTACCTTTGAAGACTGCTCGGAAACTACAACTAGTTCAGTGAGAAGCAGCCAGGTTGCTCACCGGAGCGACGTACAGGGAGCATACAACCCCCCTGTTGCGCCAGCTCCACTGGCTGCCGATCCAA